TTTAAACTTAGAATCTGTTAATTATAACATTTTAAATGTATCCCAGTTTTCACAGATTTCACAGACTTTAGGGCTGTGGGGCTGGACTCAAAGATCTCTTGTGGTCCCTTCCAGCCCTAATGTCTATGAAATCTATAAAATATATGCACATAAAGAATCAAAGGGCATCAGGTTAAAAATTAACTGTGGCATTGTAGATAAACAGAGCTTAAGTCTCCATACTTTTACATTCATGCAAGGCTCTGCTCCATCAACGCATTCCAGCACATCCTTAAATCAGTAAGACCAGTCAAATGTTTAAGTAGATAGAGGCCATAATCTAGAATAACTCCACTGAAGTCAATGAAGTTGTGCTGATGTAAAACTCATGTCAGAGGAGAAGGATGAGAAGAAATAATTATAAGAAGGCCATAAAGAAACTCAGAGTTCTCTTAAAAGATAGCAAACTTTCTTTTTTTATTTTAAATGAACGGGACTCTTTCAGTTTAGTGAGACTTGTCCTTGATTCTGTTCAACTCTGAGAGATGTCTAATTCACATGTCGAAGGTAACGTGTTTGACCTTTTTTTTCCTTCTGATTGCCGCTTTATTTGAACATATTGTCTTATTATGTATTCATTCATGTTCTTTATTAGGATGCTATAAGACATGATGAAGACTGAAAGAGTTGAAGGGCACTAACATTGAATTGAGGCCTTGGACAGACTCGTACAGAGTAAACCTACTGTAGAATAAATTGCCTTTGCTTTTTAGTAAAAGTGGAAAAAATGTGTTATGTAGTGTCATGCATTGGTGTAAGTCCACTTGGTGTAAAATTATCCCTCAAAGTGAAAAATAACGATATACTGATATTCCATTAATTCAACAGTGTCAGAGATGCAGCCTGTGGAGCTCCCCATGGGGCTAGAAATTTGACAGCTGGACAAGCGGTGGCAAATTTCTGGCTTCATCAGTTGTGGCAATTAGTGTTGCTGCCACTAGTCCCAAATTTGCAGTCCCATGTGGGCCAGATCCAGAGTATGGAGTAGTTAGGCTATGAGCCTTAGTGTCCCGGGTTTTGTTCCTTGGCCTAATTGGTGTTGGCAGAAGGTTCCAGAGAAAGTGAACTTCTCACCTCTGATGAGGTAGTTACCTGGTTTCTGCCATTGGGCATGGTCAGTTGGGGCCATGTCATGTGACAGTTTTGGCACCAAATGCCAATAGGTAACAAGTTACTTTGCTGAGGCGATCAGTGAAGTGATTGGTGTTTTGTGTGATTGACAGCACCTCTGGGTGAGTGGTTGGCTTGTAGTGTGATTGGTGGTGTGACTGAGAGCTATAAAAAGGTTTTGTGCCTAAGGCTGTGTGCGACCGTGTACGTGGAACATGGGACTGCTTATGTGTTGGGGTGGTCTCGTGGTCACTGAAAGTTTGAATGAGATGCACCTGCACGTATGACCTGAGGAAGGTCTGCATTACGAGGATTGCCTGTTCAAATTGTCTTTCAAATTGGTGGAAGTAGCCATCCAATTTGAAATGCATCATGGGTTGCCGGGTAGACTGGAAGGGTCTCTAGCACCCTCCCAGTCTGATCTGTATTGCTAAGAACAATAAGGAGATTAAGCTGTCCCACCTAGGTTTCCCCCCCAATACTGGGATGTATCTAACTCAGGGTTACCTGGAGCCCATGGGATGTCTGCCCTTTGCAGTGACCATGTTAACCAAATTGTCACAAAGCAGAGTTTTTGGGGAGAGACAGAGGTGGCATTCTGCCACAATGGCTACTTATGATAGAGAGTACATCAAAATGATAAGACAGTCACCAGTAGGTATTGACTGTTTTGTGCTATTCCAAGTTATTCAAAGTAAGTATAAATTCAGTGTCATGGTTTCTCATATATGCTATGATTAATTTTGGAGAGTGGTATTTCTACATCAACAGATACCCTGCTATGGGTCCCTACTTACCGCCATGTCTGATCTTTTTAAAAAACTAAAGAAACTGTTTATTTTTATCTTTTTTATTAGCTGTATGGGTTATGTTGTTCTATATGTATGCTCTGCAATTTTGTAACATGACTTAAAAGATTGTCAAAAACATGATCGCCTCTTGGTGAAATTGACCAATTGTGGCCTTGGGTCCACCACGATCCGCTGGCTGAGAAATTGGCTCTGTGGTCAGACCCAGAGGGTAGTACTTGGTGGAAGTCAATCGTCATGGTGCCCTGTGACCAGTGGGGTCCCCCAAGGCTCTGTCCTTGGACCCATATTCAACATCTTTATTAATGATGTGGACATTGGAGTCAGGAGCGGACTGGCCAGGTTCTCCAATGACACCAAATTTTGGGGCAAAGCACCTACATCAGAAGACAGGAGGGTGATCCAGGCGGACCTAGACGGGCTCAGTAAATGGGCGGACGAGAACCTGATGGTGTTTAACACTGAAAAATGCAAGGTTCTCCACCTTAGGAAGAAAAGCCTGCAGCATCCTAATAGGCTCGCAGTGCTACGCTGGCTAGCACTAAGGAAGAAAGAGACTTGGCGGTCATGATTGACCACAAGATGAACATGAGCCTGCAATGCGATGCTGCGGCTAGTAAAGCGACCAAAATGCTGGCTTGCATCCATAGACGTTTCTCAAGCAAATCCTGGGATGTCATTCTCCTCTTGTACTCGGCCTTGGTGAGCCTGCAGCTGGAGTACTGCATCCAGTTTTAGTTCCATGATTCAAAAAGGATGTGGAGAAGCTTGAGAGAGTCCAGAGAAGAGCCACACGCATGATCAGAGGTCAGGAAAACAGACCTTATGACGACAGACTGAGAGCTATGGGGTTCTTTAGCCTGGAAAAGCGTAGGCTCACAGGCAATCTGATGGCCACCTATAAGTTTATCGGGGTGACCACCAATACCTGGGGGAACGTTTGTTCACCAGAGTGCCCCAAGGGATGATGAGGTCGAACAGTTATAAACTACTGCAAGACCGTTTCAAGCTGGACATAAGGAAGAATTTGTTTATTGTCCGAGCCCCCAAGGTCTGGAACAGCCTACCATCGGAGGTGGTTTAAGCACCTACATTGAACACCTTCAAGAGCCAATTGGATGCTTATCTTGCTGGGATCCTATGACCCCAGTTGACTTCCTGCCCCTTGGGCAGGGGGCTGGACTCAATGATCTTCTGAGGTCCCTGCCGAGGGGCAGGAAGTCAGTTGGGGTCATAGGATCCCAGCAAGATAAACATCCAAATTTCTTTTGAAGGCATTCAAAGTAGGTGCTTGAACCACCTCTGGCAGCAGTCTATTCCAGACCTTGGGGGCTTGGATAGTAAAGAAGTTCTTCCTTATGCTCTTGATTTCTGCATGATCACACCATTTTCACAGTTCGAAATGATAAGAATTTAAAGCATACACTCCGTGTCTCTGATGAAGAAGTCTTGGTCCCTAAGGCAGTCTGTCTAGTGGATCATTCAATGTAGTTCTCAGCCATAAGCATGAATCTTCAAAATATTCCACCATTTATTATATCTCTTCCTGGAAGGTTTCAGGATATTCTTTATTTTATCTGATTTCTCCTTAGATTCAGTTGTTCCAAACAAAATAGTTGATATGATGCCTAGGTGTTTACACTCCTCATATATATGTAAAATTATGTCCTGTCATTTGTGATTTAGAGTCATTCTCCTGCTCATCTCCCTTTGCCATCCCTGAGGTAAGTTGTACCTAGTTAAGGGTTTTTGTGGGTGATATCTTTTATGGGGTCAACTGCATGGCTGGAGTAGACTTAGACAAGCTTTTGAATGCCATGCATTCTTTTTTGGCTCCTTACTTCCTATTTATTTCCTGGACCATCACAGCTAAAACATCACCACAGTGCTACTTAAACTTAGCCATTTTAATTCTCATAAGCCAAGTACTCCTTTTCTGTCCCTTTCTTGTGGGCTTAGAGCTGAAAAGTGAAAGACTATTGTTATGAGAGAACTCTGTATCTGTAAACTAATTCAGGAGTCTGAAATAACACAAAGCAATAGAATGGGAGAGGGGTAAGCAATAATACCATGAGAGAGCTGTAGTAGCAAATTAGATTTGATTGTGCCCTAAGATATAGCAAAAAGTCCAATGCTCATTTTGAAGGCCTATATAAAAATATACCACAGGAGAGAAAGGGAGAAGAGTTAAGAGTACAATTAAGTGGATTTTTTTTATGATTTTTTTTTCTTTTGATGAAAAATGCAGATATAACTGAACAAAACATTGAGAATTTAACTCTATCTTGTGGAATTGTTTTGGTAGAAATATATAAAAAAGGAAGTTGCAATGTGTCAGATTTTTTCAAAATGGAACATCTGGACTTTGCCAACTCAAAACAGGATTTGTTTTTAAATTTACTGCCACTTTATTAAAAGTAACATTTTAAAAAACTTGGAAAAAAAATATAGCACTCATATAAGGGAAAAAAGTTTATGAGTTGAAACAAATTTTTTTTAAATGATTTTTTAACCTTCCAACAGCAACACCAAAATTATTCACATGCTCTAGTCAAGAGCAGATGTAAAGCTATGGGAAAGACTCATCCAGAGTCCATCAAATTTTACTGGAAAAAAACACAGGAACGACACATTTCTGAGCACTACCTTGAAGCTGTCAGCATTTGCGTATATGTTACAAATTGAATTTCAGGTCTGGTTATCTCTGAGTCAAGAACCACCTCCTTCCTTCTACTTTGGACGCACCGGACCAGGCTCACTTGGAGCTGTGTGGGGCAATCCTGAGCGTAAGACTCCCCGGCTTCCTATCTCTTTTCTTTTTTGACTCCCACATGTCTGAAGGTCTCTAGCCTCTGTTTATCTCACTTTCTGATTCTTTTCTTGCATTTTTGTAGTTTTTTCCCCCCCTTTTTTCTCCTCTTTGTCTCATCCTCCCTGTACTTCCAGTTTCTTTGTCTTTATAGCCTTCTTTCTTACTGTCTCTTTTCCTTTCTTTCTCTCTTTCTTTTCTGTTTGTTTGTAATGGGGAGTTATCTTTTCCATTAGCTTGCCTTCTGAGGGATGCTGTTAATTACCCCTTCTTCACCCACACCTTTGTTTTCTTCTTTTTTCACTGTTTCAACCCCCAGCCGCTTTTCTTCCTCCACCCCTTTTCCCCCTCCCATCTAGAGTTTTGTGGCCGCATTCCCAGACACTTATCTTTTTAGTTAGTATAAACTTTTTTTGTCGTCTTTGCTTAGTTAAAGCTTGAAATTAACCCTGTTCTAACAGGAATGGCTGCTCCTACACCCAGCAGCTGGCATGAGGATGCCTCCCAGAACCTCCCCATTACCCATGGTTTGAGAGTTCACACCCCCTCCCTTTGTCGGGGTTGAGGTCTGCGTAGATGCCCTTGCCAGTATCCTGGGACAGCATAACATACGTTACGCAGGTTGTGTCAACGTGGTCCCGATGATTTATCTGAGTGATTCCACCCTAGTTAACAAAGTGTGCACAGAGGGCCTGGACATTGCGGGTGCACATTATGTTGTCATGCCCCTAGACACCCCAGCAGTGAGGGTGGTGATTTCTAATGTGCCCCCACACGTGACCGACTGGGAGCTGGCCAAGGAACTCAAGCCCTATGGGGTTCTTATGAGTCCCTTTCACCAATTGACCATAGGGAGTAAAAACCCCAAACTGAGGCATGTCGTATCTTTTCAAAGGCAGGTTTTCATGCTTCTCAGGGTGGGCCCATGGTCTCTGCCTCAGTCCTTGAGCCTCATGTTCAGTGGGCAGAGGTTTGTGATCTATTTTTCTTTTGGGGAACCAGGTGTTTGCAGTGTGGTAGGTCTTCCCACCTAGCAGCTCAGTGCCTACGGGGGAGATCGGCCAAAACATTGGTGACTACAGCAGCGCTGACGGACAGCGCATCCACTTCTGGGATGCAGGCCCCACCCAGTGAGCCCGGGAGCTTTTCCCAACCTCCTTCAACCCCTGTTCCATCTGAGGGGGCTGGAGTCTCTGGCGTGAGAATGCCATCCAGCGGAGGGGCTGGGACTACACCCCAACCCTCCCCCCAACTCATTCCACCTAGAGTGCCCACCCCCACCAGTACAGAGACGCCACCAGGTGGAGAGGCTGATGCCTCCGCTTGCCCCCTGCCTGCCTTGACCACCCTGATTGAGGTGGCTGGGGTGGTCAGCGATTCTGTCACCAAGGCCCCATTGGATGATGGGGCTCAGGCCTCCTGCCAGTTGCCCTCCACCACGGCTTTGTCTGAGGTGGCTGGCCCTGGGGAGGCAGGCTAGAAGCAGTCTGGCCCATCCTCTATAAAGGATGGGCCATCTGCCACACAGATGAAGAAGAAGAAGAAAGAGAAGAAAGTGAAAGGGACCACTCGGGACTCCCCATCCCCACTGAGACCTTCCTCAGCTGGTGTGGGGGAGGCCCCTGCTGGAGAGCCTGGCCCTGCTCCGGCTGTCATGTCAATGACCCTGTTGATGGGGGATGAGGGCAGCTTGGAAGTGGGGGAGGCGAAGGCAGGGGTCACTAACCCCTTGCCTATCTCCCAGCTTTCGGAGACAGGTGGCAGTAAGACCTATGCACAATGTCTGTCTTCTGGAGGTCTGACCCAGGGGGCAGCAGAGGAGTCTGCTGAACTCTTGGTCACATCCCAGGTTACTGAATTAGATGGGGAGGCTAGTGAGATGAAGATCCAGCTTTCTAAGTGTCATAAGCAACCTCGAGAGCGGGATGACCTCTCTCCCCACAAGAAGGTGGGGATTGATCTTCGAGAGCCAGACCTTTACTTGGATGATAAGAGGAGGTTGATGGGTTTAGATATTGAGGGTGTAGATGCTGAGCTCCCAACTAGGATGCAGCCTTGCCGCGCGTCTGTTGGAAATGTGCAGTCCATGTTGGCAGACCACCCCGGGTCAGTCCTGACTATGGCGTGCTCCTGACCTTTTTGAAACAGGTGAAAGGACAGAAGAACATAGTGAGGCACATCACCTGATGGTGCGCAGATCCTAAAGTTTTTTCAAATCTGCCAGAGTTGCAGCCAAACTTATGCAGCAAGATCTAGACACTAGGCAAATGGCTTATCGTCTGGAGAAGCTCGCACAGCGGGTGAGAGATGAGTGGCACCAGGCAGGGTCCCTGGAGTAGAGTAGGGCACGATAGGTCTTTTCCAACCTGTGTCTGCTGTTTGCTCCTGCTCCAGAACTGGCTGGC